TGTCTGTATATGTGACCCTGTGAACGGTATTATATTATAGCTTCGGTAAAGATACCGAAGTACCGTTTTTTCTTGTTTTTTAATACAATTTCAAAAAGATATTCACAGGAGGTAGGTCTTACACTTTCTCAACAGTCCTTATAACGATTGATATTGCCGTGGGGATCCAAAGCATCGTGAATCGTTTGCCTTCATCTCCAGTTCAGCCTCATTTTGCTTTTCATGGACCAATAATTCCTTCACCGTATAAACTACACCAGACAATTACTTTTTCGAAGACGACAATTTTGCATATTTATATGTCCACTTATTCAGAAATGTACCTCAACGCAGATGATAGCTTGGTGTTAAATATAATCTTAAGTTTTTCTTGGAGGACACTAGTTTTAGAAAAAAGTTAGCACGCCTTCAAATCGCTTTTCAGATTTTTTGATTATAATTTTTGATATAATTATATTTATTATAATGAACATAATTGTCAAAGACATGTGCTCGGGCAGCTGGTTTGACAGGAAATTTTATACCTTAAGAAAATATCCAAAATTTAGGGGCTCCAAATTGCATTACGGACATTACCTCAAAGTGTTTTCGCAAATTAGTGAACTGCTTTAACTGTTTCATGGATTTTCAAGTCAATTGATGGGTTAATTTTCAAACTTTTCTTAAGTTATACTTTTTTATTTGTATGCTTAGGCAGCTACCCTCTTTGGAAATTCAAATACTATAAAAAATTTCGAATTGACCAAGATCAGTTTATAGATTAGAAATATATATATTTTTACATTTAATGTATCTGTATACACTATATAACCACACCTATTCCACACCATTAATATTCATCGCATTCAAAACAAACTTAATTGTTTATTGAAATATTCAACCGATATGGTCTATTACGTTTTGTTATTCAAGATTAGCTTGCATATTTATTCAAGTGAAATAATATTCATTTCTATAGACTAAAATATATGTATTTCGAGAAATCAATTTTCCCACGCTTTTGTATGCACTGCAAGCAAGTCATTCAAACACTATTTGCGGTTAGTCCGAGTGACGCGCGTTCGCCGCTGATAGGTGTGTGCGTGTGTGTGTCGCAAGCGTGTGGAATTGTGAAAGATTTGTGTTGAGGAAGCGCTATAAAATACAATAATAAAAAACACAATAAAGTGACTTGAAAGATAAACAATAAATGAAGCGAAATGTTGCAAATTTAACAAGAAACTGCAAAAAAGAGAATGAATGACTGACTGAAAGTAGTTTGGTATACCCTTTGTAGTTGCCGAATGTTTGGATTGATTGCTTCATGCTTGTTTTGACTGGATATTTAAAAGAGCCTTTAGGTGTAACAGCTTAAAAAAGGCGATTTTTGGGAATAAAAAAAACGCCCATAAATTTTTTTTTTTAATTTAAATGGCATATTTATAAACATTTAAAAAATGCGCCGCAAAAATTGTTAAGCAAAAAATTTTATATTTTTAAATTTACACGCCGCCGGAGATGGCTCTAAAAAAGTTCCTGCACTACTGCAGTGATTCTCTACTAGAAGATATTGTCCGTTTAATCATCTATAGCAGAATCAAATTCGTTAGAAATGAGAATATGGACTCGTCTTATTTGTCTTACCTTTGGCTCATTCTACTTTATTTGTATATATATTATTATTCACACAATTACTTGTGTATCTAATGGTAGCTAGCCAAATTATCAATTTATGCTCTGATTTAATTCTAACTAATTTTATTAACATTCAATTATTGTTATTTATGTTAATTGTACTTTTCTGTGTTTATGTTAATTAGCTTGCAATATTTCCTTTTGTAGCTGCCACTTTTAATTTTTAATGCATCGTTTTATCTTTTGTTCTAAGTTATTGAGTCGATATTTGGTAATCAGCGAATTAATTTAATTGAATGCTTGTTGACAACCTGAAATATATTGATGGCTTTAGTTCGATAAAAATTGCATAATCAGCGACCAGTTTTCGAAACACACATCTAACGAAATGTTTGCCAATGTCAGTATTTCTTATTAATCCATTGGTGCAACCCACTTTACCAAGGCAAATGGATTTTAATGGAAATATAGATTGCTTATATGTTTATTTTAAATAAGGCTTTAGATTTAGAGGCGATACACTTCATTAAGAACTATATTTTTTGAATTTTATTACATATATTTCTTAAGTATTCATCATTGCTATTTTATTTACGACTAATAACATTTATATAGTTTATATTTCAGTTTATTTACAACAGTAAAATTTTGTGAAGAATGGTTATACTTTATTAAATACCTTCTTCATTGCAATGTAATAATGAATGCCTGATTTCTGCCTAGAGAGCATCGCATATATCGTCCACATCTTCTTCATTTCGCTCTAAAGCTATTTGTGAGCTTTGGCCTGCTGTACGAATGTCCTCCAGACATCTCGTCACTTACGTTTTTTCTACAACTTTTTACACCAAGCTTTTCATAGCTTAATCTAATTCGTCAAACATTAATCTTGATATTAGTATTGCCTTAGAAAACGTATAATGTTTTCACCTTTAGTAAGTTGGTTTAGCTCATTGTTCTACCTTATATTACGTCATTATCTTTGACTACATATTGCTGGCTTTTCGACTTTTAATGCTAATATTGTGCTGAAATAATTTTCCCATCCTCTGTGAGGGCAAATTTTGAACTACTGTTAAGCTTCCGGGTCTATTAGCCTCGCAAATATTTTGTATGCCAAGTTCAGATGAGAAACTCTGCAAAAATTTTAGCAGTCTACCGTACGTCTTTTCTGAGGATGGGGATTATGATTGCTGTATTTCATACATCTCGCAACAACTCATGAACAAGATGCTTGCGTTTTTTATGAGTTCACCAATGTTGTCCTCTGCAGGTGACTGGCAGTTTTTCATATGGTTTTAGCTTCACAATCACTTGCATTCAACCCCTCTTTGAAGCATCCTATCTTATTAAATAATTGAAAGTTTTTGCACTGTGCTGAGCAATATTCGAATGTTATATCCTCAGTGGGAAGTTATTGCTTGTTACCACAAATGCAAGCATAGTTTATTCTCCAAGTCATTACTTTATGGACAGCAGCTCTCTTGATAACGATTCTCTTAGCATACCCTTAGAAACACAAACTAGCACCACACAAAGCCAGAGCTCGATCTCAGTTCCGACCAACTTTATGCCGTGAACACTTTATGCAGAGAACAAGTATTAAGTTTGTCACGGAAAACATCCAGAAGGAAACGTCGAAGACCTTATTAAATATATACATACATAAATGATCGAATCGATATGGCCATGTCCATTTGTCTGCACATTTCTGAACTAGTCACTTAGTCGTCTCCTGATAGGCAATGACAAAACCTTCTTGCTTATGTCTGCCAACTTTGAAACTTACTAGCATTCATTTTGTAAGCAAGGTCAAGGGTTAAAATCATATAGTGAGACATTATCTATAAATTATAGTAATCTGTATTACTTAAGGCATAAGCAATGATCTAAATTTCTTTAAACAATCTTTTAAGAGCCAATGGAAAATTTCGGAAATATTTTTGATTGTTAACTGATTCTCATAAGAAAAATGTACATATATAAACAAATATATGTACATATATACCAAACATAGTGAACACCTAATTTAATGATCATTAAACCAGTTTGCAGTAATCCAAGTTCCGCACCTCCAATACATAACCTATCAGCACTTTGCCTTCACTGTCATTCATACACGCACGTTCAATGAATTGTTGTTTAATTTTAGCCAAAATTAATTGAATAATCAAATACAACATATTATTATTGTGAAGTAGTTAAAAAAAAAAACATGTTATCTGCCTGAACCGAAATAATGGAATAAACCAAATTGCGTTAGTCTGATTTTTGCAAGCGTTTGCTCGAAAACGCCGAGACAGCAGCCGCTTACAGCTTAAATTATAGTTTGCAAATTTTATTGCGAGGCATTTTGGTCAATTTTTGATTGCTGATTATTAATTTTTATTGAATATTTAACAACGTTTAATCGCGCGGTTATTGGTTTCACTTTATGTGTGTTTGTGTTTGAAGTTATTCTTATTATTACAGGTTCGCTTTTGGGTTTATTTTTTGATTTCTTTGACAGTGCTTTAGATATTACTTGATGTTGCACAATTTTTCATCCAACAAAATAAAATACATACTGAGCAAAATTGGCTGCTTTCGTGTATTGACCTTGCCGCGATTTTCTTTTATTGTTTTTGGTTGTTTTTTTTTTTTTTGCTAATTTTTTTTTTTACACTTATTTTGCCACAAACAATAAGATTTACCATGTTTTACACTTTCCTTTACTTTTGTTTATGTGTACGCATGTATTTCTGTTTATTATTTATTTATTATTATTATTTTTTTTTTGCTTTTCGGAATCGCGTGTTTGACTTCATTTAAAATTGTTGCTTCCTTCTTCAAAGGCGGCAACAAGCCACAAAAACTTACACGGAACTGAATTTATTTTCTCTTTTTTTTTTAATTTTGCTAAAACAGGCAACATTGTAGGCTTTTGTAAAAAATGTGAACTGATAACATATTTTATTTGAAAAACTGTGTTTTTTAGCTACGTCGTAATAGTTTTGAATGTGCAAAAAAGTATAAATTTGGATTAGATATATTATATTATTTTCTTGTATATTACTATACCCTGAAAAGGGTATATTAAGTTTGCCAAGAAGTTTATAACAACAAGAAGGAAACATCAGAGACACTATAAAGTATATATATCGGAATCAAGTTCTTGTAAGGAAGTTTTTGTATTATAATTGTGAAGGGTATTATAGCTTCGGTGCAACCAAAGTTAACGAAACAAAGTTTTTTATCAAAAGATTACTCAGCATTTACTTCTTAGAAAATATTATACATTTATTTATTAAATTATTAAAATATAAAAAAAAAACTTACGTATATATAGCATACTATATATGTATATCAATGTGATATTAATACATTTTTCTTTTCTTTTTTTGCAGTCTTAAGAACAAGGTTAACGAATAATTAGAAAGGAACAATTTTTGGGTAAGTAGGATCCAAAAATAATTGAATATATTATATTAAAATATTTATGGTACTATATGTTTCACAAGCCAGATCCAAATTTGAGAGAGATAGAAAGAAGTATTGTTTTTATTCCTTTGCTAAAAAACTAATATTCAATATATAATATATGTATTCCTAGTGGAGGCCTGGTTAAAAATAAAAATATTTTTTAAAAAGACAGCAGTGAATAAGAGGAGTTCCGAATATTTTGGTTAATAACCTAGTGAATGTGGCTAGAAATGCCATTTAGTTAAATTTTATTATAGATATAAAAAGCTTATTGGATATATAATTTTTCTCTGTTTTCAACTCTGTTTCTACTGGGCGTTCTGTGGTTAACATTGAAACATCCATAGTTAAGAACTCGCTGATTATTATTAATACTAACAACCATCGATCCATCCATTGATATTTGTTCAGAATTTCAATCTGTTCACTGATAAAGCATACACAAACGAAAAATTGTAAGCAAATCGGTACGCGAAATGTATTATAAAAATGTCGGGGTGCATTAAAATTATTCAGGTAATTATCTTCTCGGGTTATTTTTTTCTCCAAAATCTATTTTTTAGTTATGTGAAAACATACGTAAACATTTTTTTTGGCGTGTGAAGCAAAACTTCTCAGCCGATGTTTTCCAAATAGTTTTTAATGGGACTTGCAACATGAGGTCGAGCTTTGTTATGATAAAAAATTATTGCCCCTTTTCCGGGCAGTTTTTGGCAATCACTCACTCTAATTTGATGAGTTGTAGTCGGTAGCGTCCCCCGGTTTTAGGAGCTCATATGCCCTTCTGATTCCACCAAATACAATGTAATAGATATTCGGCTTTTCCGTTAATTTGGCTGGTTGTAGACGGTAGAGTTAGTATCCATTTTTGATCATCAGTTACAATCCAATGCAAAAACTCTTCTTTTGTAGCGTTCAAGCAACATTTCTGACATCCAAAATTGTCTTTCAACGTTTTTTGGCTTCGATTCATAGGGTACCTAGTTTCCTTACTTTTAAATGTATCCAGTTGCTTTTAGACGGTTTGAAATGGCTGATGAAGTTACTTGCAAAGATTCTGCGAACTCTTCTTGTGTTTGGAATAATCTTCAACGAGTAATGCTTCCAGTGCGTCATATTAAAATAATGAAAAAGAATAAATGTTTTTATATTATTTTCAATTGCAAATTAATACTACGAAACATTACATTATATTAGTAGTGATCTTAAGCGGCGACAACAAATCTCTCCGTTCACATGTATTTTTGGTAGGAATTCAATCTGACCATTCCAGTCGGTAGGTGAGTTGCTCTCGATTTTCAAGTAACAGGAGAATTAGGCATTTCATTATCTCTGCTGCAAATGATTGAAAAACCTGCAAAAGACGCAAAAGGGCAGTAGCTTTCCAAAGCATGTTCGTTATATTAAAAAAATTCAATAATAACCAACTCTTGGCAAGCCGCACGGATTCAATTTTATATATATTATATTTTTGAAGCAAAAAAATGTCCCTAATCACGATTAGCCAGCTTAACCTAACCTAACTCACGTTGTTATAAGTCATTGAATTTTGCAATATTCTTGGTAATTATGAAACTATGAATATTATTACACACATAAATGCAACTTGTGTGTTCATACTTATGAAAAATTGCTGAATTTACAGCTAAGTTACGGTAACTTGTAATTAAACCTGATTGCAACATTTAGTGGCATGACATGAGCAAATGTCAATGGAGGCGGAAGCGTTTAAGGCATGCAAATGCACACACACATTCACATTCGTATCATGCACACCTACACATACAATACATAAAACAGGCGAGCGACCGAGCGCATTTATTATAATGCATTTATGTAATCACAAGAGGTTGCTCATACGCCAGTGCGCATGTGTCAATGTGTATGTATAGTGTGGTTGTTTCGCTACAACATGCGATTGTTATCTTAATTAAACACTGTCAGTTGCAGTTTCAAGCAATTTGGAGTTCAAGTGTGGCTTTTTCAGCAGTTCGGCTGCTGTTTTTGTCCCTATCTCATATAATTATTACATAATGGCACTTCTTGCCTTTTATGTTAATTATGCTGCGGCGTCAGCTGTTGCTGTTCGCTGCTGTTGAATCCGCTTGCCTGCCTACATACATACATACATACATATGCTTTTTGTGTCTCGTGCTGTGTGTGGCTTCTGTGTGTCAGCTCATTTTCCACAGCATTTCAACGCAACGTGTGACTTTATAATTATACAATATTATTTGCTGTTCTCCTATGTTATACAATTATCTACCTACATACGTATGTATGCATGTGTGTGTGTGTTTTTGTTTATACAAATTAACTGGCATTTCTTGCATGCTGCAGCTGTTTTCTGTTTATTTATTGCTACCCTTTTCTGCTTTCATCATTTCTTAAGCAGGTTATGTAGTCTACTTTTACCTTTTTTATCGTTTGCCACTCGCTTTGGCTGCTGTCTGTGATCTTCCCGTTTCTTTTGCTTCATCTTCGCCGCCTCGGTTGACACGAGTTGCTTTAGAGTTCAAGTTGAATGTCCGTTTGTGTTGCAAGCGTAACATTTTATGCTTTATCTGTTATAATTTTTCAGATATACATTTGCGTGCTGTGCTCTCTGTCTTCCGATTTCAACAACTGTAAATGGGCAATTACAGTTGTTTGCGGCAGATAAAGAATTCTTTGCATTATGCTGTGTTATGCAGTTTTTATTGTGCTATTTCATAATATTTTATCTCACACTACTTTTTAATTAGAGTAAAATATTTTCTCACATATGTACATATATATACATATATCAACATTTCATCAAGAGATACTTCTTATTTAATAAAAAATAACTTTGAAATATTGCAAACTTTGTTCTGTGTGTGTTGTAGGAAGTTAGAAAGTAAAGAATTGTTGAAAGGTAACAAAAGAAAAAAAGAAAAGTTAACGCAAAAAGCTCATGGACTGAAATTACATCTACAAGTAGCAACAAAATCGATCCATTTTAGAAATCGACGATTATTCGTGATCACTTAAGACGTCGAATCGCGGTGAGCCAGCGTAAACTGGCGCCAAGACAGGACGTTCAGGGAAGTTTTGCTATACAATATGTTTGATGGATTGGCAAGGAATCATCTACTATAGGGTATCATCCCTTTACGGTAAAAATTTTAATTCCGACCTGTACTGTCAACAATTGGACCGTCTGAAGGAAGCAATCGCCGAGAAGCGGCAGCTTTGGCTAATAAGAGAGGAATTGAGTTTATTCAGAATAACGTAAGGCCATAAGCATCGATAGTGACTCACCACTCACCATTCTTGCAGCTTAGTTGGGAAGTTATAAGGCCTTATAGGCTGTTACCTTCAAAAAGTTGAATTTGATTTCAAATTGAAAAGCAGAAAAAATCTTTCCATGGAAATAATAATCCTTCTGTAAAAATTGGTTAAATCGGTTCTATGTAATATAAAGATACATATATCTAATAGTAATGCCTAAAATGGATAACATCGGGTCTATACTTCCTCTAGTCCCCAAATATCTAATAGAAAGATTTTACAAATTACGGTTGACCTTATATCATATGTTGTATAATATATCACCTCGGCTAAAGCGGAGCCATAGTGTATTGTAAAATTTTGAACAAAATATTTGAATACATTCAGGGTCATTGGGAGAAACCAAGGGCCCGGGGAGCTCCCTGAGCCATTAATTGCTGAAGAAAGTAATCTACAAAATATTGTTGCAGAGCACCTGGCCGCCCTGAGAACTCCGGCACCGGGAGAAATTTTCCTTCATTCTTCCTTATCTCTGACTGGTTTCCGTTTTCGAAAAGGCCTGTAAGATAAGTTGCAACTGTACGATTTATTCCTGAGATGAAAACACATCTCTAAAAATTACATTGTGATTTAATAGCGGGTTTCTACTGCGATCTTTGAATAAAACCAAGAAAGCGATAAAGTTCGTCCAAAAATTCATTTAAACCTCAGATAACACCTTATAATGAAGTTATACACTGTGTTTTAAAGCGACATAGAAGCTGAAATGTTAAACACTTTTTGATTTTATTATGCTTATAGCTCAACAAAAATAAAAGAATGTAGTCATCGTCAAATAGACTTTTATTGGTGCATTCATAGTTACATAGGAGTTTGTTTATTTGTCCACAAAAAGATTATAAATTTTATTTCAATTTAAATGTTATTATCTCACCAAACATAATGTCACGTTATGGAAGTTAAATTTCACTTATTACGCTTAATTAACCAGCGCAATTAAGTAACATAGTACTCGTTTTCGTCACAGCAGCACACACGAGTACATAAGAGTACATAATTAGACGCATCAAATGTCGTTTGAATGTCTTACATTTCTGATTGTTGCAAAACGTGTTTACACCTTTTACAACACGAAATCAAAAAAAAACAAAAACCAAAAACAAAAGTTTGAGAAAATCACGAGATATACAGCGCGTCATTGTCACAATAGAAATTTCATTTGATGGACAAGTAAATTGAGTTAATTTAACGGTGTTACGAAACGAAAAGGTAAAAGCTTCAACTGCAAGCAAAATGTATAAGAAATCAGACGACGCTGAGCTAGTGACTTGTCGCTTAATACACATATACATATACACACATAATGTCCGAGTTATTTCCGCCTGCGCATGGGCAAATGGGTGTGCCACAGCGCTTATCTAAGCCGAGTTGATCTCACGTTCGTGTTCTGCCTCCAATCAATTTGTCTGTATATACAATACTATTATCTGTATATACAATACTATATTTGGCCGACAAATGCTCATGTAAACAATGGTTGTTCATAACTTTATTGTTATTGTTATAATTGCACGTTGCTTGCGAATTGTCGCAGTGGGGAAAGTGTGCAGAATACTTGGGACGGGAAATGAATAGTGGAAAACACCCGCACACTGACAAAACTGATCGATTGCAATGTTGCGTGTCAGACAATGTGCGACAATAATTTATGTCTGCTT